GGAGCATGGTGGTGCTGTTTCCTGCATCTCTGCAACAGTTGCTCAACCATAGAGGTTTGGGTTTTGTTTTGTTTTATTCCCCCCCGCCGAAAATGCAGGGATGAATTGATAATTGTTACATTCCTTTGGTTTTCTGTTTTATGATTGTGTGCAACCCTTAATTTAGTGGAATAAATGGGAATTAGGGAAGCTACAGACTGCTATGCAGAATAAATACATGGACTAAGGAGGGATGGTTCGTTCAGATTCCTTGGCAGACTTGTACGGCATTGAGAAGTCTTTGGTGTTTGCTTTCCAAAGGCAGGATCTCCTTTGTGTTAGCTGAGTGGAGTTTTACCTGCATATTTATAAACTTCCTCCTAGACTGTTAAAATACTTGGTTAGAGTGTCAATCACAATCAAGTTGCCTCAGTATCACCCCTGCTTTATAAATCATTACCTGCTTTAAACCATGCACATTTCCTCATAGAGCTGTTGGTGAATATGAAATTTGGACACATAACCAACATGTTCTTTGTGGTTCATGATGTTTTAATATTTGCTTGCTAATAATTTTTTCCTACTCTTAGGCCTTCTTTAAAAATGATCTAATTACGTATGTTGTCGCATTGTCTAGAAGTGTCAGTTAGGTGGGGCTTTGCTGTGACTGTGTGTAAGGATGACTTGTCTTCTCACTGTTTGTGTCTTTTGGATGTGTGTTCTGGGTATTTTCTATGCATCACGGCAATTTTCTTAGTGAATAATACTTTAATATCTCAGGTAGTAAACTCTTTTTGGGGCTATATGCAGTTTGGTGTTCTGTGGGTGCTGATTTTTTCTAAAAATAATAAGCTGTATTGGTTTAGATTAATTGATATTCATTATACTATGCTTTTTTGTTTATTTTCTATCTAGTAGCTGCAGTCATGAGGCAGGATGCTTTTGTGAAGGATGTTATTTGCAACCTGCTCTGACAGGTTACAATACAAGATGACAAACTTAAGCCACTCTTGGTCTTGACAGCACTCCAAATTCAGTTATGTTGTTCTTCACAAGGATTACTCAGTGTCTTCATCATCTGTTGAAATAACTTCTCTTTCTCTAAAAGTAACTCAAAGCAGACAAAATTAGACATATCTTTGTGCAGGAGACAACTGAAAGTCCATTGTACTGTTATTTCTATTATGAATCAGATCTTCCTGATTTATGAACGCTTGAAGAGCTTGAACCTTGTATTCTATGGATGTTGTAGTCTTTTATGACAGAGAATAAACAGTAATTCATCTGTTGTTGTGAAATGTGTTTAAATATTTTTATCAGGCCTTTGTTTTCCCATTTTGCAGAAAAAAAAAAATTAAAAATATTTTAAAGAAGGGATAGAGAAGCTGATGACATAAATGTTGCCATGTATTGACATAATTTTATTTTAGGCACTTTGTGTCTAACCTAATAAATTTTTGAAAGCAGCGTGATAAGACCTACTCGAAAGGCTGTTAAAATGGGTGAAACCCCCCCTTTATTTCTCTTTCATTGAAGATCCTGGAGGTCTCTTCTTCTGTTTGACTTACAGAAACAACAGAGGCTTGCTTGATTGAAAGAGATACATAGCTGTTGGCTTATTGCTAGTGTTTTCTTCAAAATAATTGAAAGCAGATCTGAAATGAAAAGGAGCTCTTGCCAAAGATCTGCAAATGTAAATTCTGTTCAAGACAAAAGAAAAGCTTTTCTGCAGTCTTCTTGGTGAACTTTAGTTGTTTCTGTCAATCAGAAACACTGTCTGGGCTTGTTGTAGGTAAGTGCTGCATAAATAGGAGAGTACAAACAAATCGGTACAGATTCACACTGATCGCTGATCTGCATTTGAGTATGTTTTGAACGAACTACTCACTGAATCATGTTCTCTATTGCTTTTTTCTATATAAATGTTACACTACTAGCCTATACTTACTAAGCTCATTGCATTTTTAAACTTTTTATCCTCAATCTTCAGCAAAATATTACATTGTCTAAATCACACATTTCATATGCAAGATCAGAAGTATCTGCTCTGTAGGAGCTCAGAGCTTATTCTGAAAAATGAGTTGGTTCTTATTGTTACTGCCAGACAAGGGCTTGGATTGCTTTGCCTTATTTAAGAAAAATCAAATCTCTTCAAGCTGCTATTCTAGAATTAAGTTGTTCTAAATTTATGTATTGTGATATAATGTATTTCAAATATTCACTTCCAAGCTTCTAGGCATCTTTCTGATATTAACTTAAAAATAAGTTTTAAACAAGACGATATCGAAGCTAAATATTGCTGAATCCAGAATGTAATCATTAGCTAGCTGCACAAGGGGTTGGCAGTAGGAAGGGCCATTCAACAGTTACTAAATCCTTATGAAGTATTTGCTTGCAATACAGGCTTTAGTGTCTGAAGAGATCTGAACTATTTTATGCCTAATAGGATGTGAATTGTAAAGGTTTGTTTTTCTGTTTCGACAAAAAATTTATATTGAACAATATTATTAGGGTATCTTTTGCATGGGAAGTAGTGGATATTCCTCACAGTTTACTTATGGTTGCTGAAAGTGTCTTTGAGTGCTAGTTTACCTCCTATTTACTCAAAATTAGCTGAGAGAGTCTCTACTAATGACTAGTGCAAGCTAGCAATTGTTCAAGCTCTACTTTATTTCTTAATGTCTCCCATGGCCCTTAACTGTTTTGTTTTGCTTCTTCCCAGACTGTGGTTGGTGCAAGTTGAAGAAGCAAGGCAGAGAGTCTAGCATTCTCATTAACAATAATACAACAAAATAATAAGATTATGACAAAATTTCAATAGGTTAATAACAAATTATTTTTCCCTATCGTTCAGACAATTCTTATCTCTAGTGGCCTGGAGTAGAAAAGAAGGGGTTTGTTTTTGAACTTCCTCCTAAACTTGGTGGTTAATGGTGAGAAAAAATTCATTTTTATGCAGGCATCTTCAGTCTGAATGGTTTGAAAATTTCTGCGAGAACAACCTCTTTCTTGGATATTGTAGCTAACATATTTAAGAATTGTTCACTGCTCTATGGAGTTTTTTCAGTTGATAAAGTTGTTCAGTTTGGAAGAACAGCTATAATATTGAACGTTATTACTGTTATAATGATGGCCAGATAATATATTTAGCACCTGTATGTTCCACACACCTCACAAATGTGAGAAACTGCACAAAAAATGTATAAACCAAAATAGACATAAAGGGCAGGAAAGTCTGCAGATGGTAAGAATATAATGCTTAAAATAATTGATACGTAAGCTTCAAGATTTTTGCTGAAAATAATGTATTGTATTAATTGGACTTTTCTAATGGCTTTCTTCTTCCCTAGGCACGAGCTTTAACACCTCAGACAGCAGAAACAGATGCAATAAGATTCTTGGTTGGAACACAGTCTCTTAGATATGATAATCAGGTAATTTTTCTGTCAAATGTCAGTTGTAATTTTTTTCCTCTTTTTTTTTTTAACATTGTTCCAATATCATTCCTCCTCCTTTCTCCCCGCTGTTGAATTTGAACATTAAGCGATAGTCAAGTTGAAGACTTCTGTGAGTAGAATGTAAAGATATTGGTAAGAAATGTAGGTGAATGAAAGATATGTTTATTTTCGGAAAAATAATTTACTCTTTTAAATTGTATGGCTAAATCAGATTGGTTTAGTAAAGGAACTGCCATATTTTTGTTAATTAAAATCTATAGATTCTCTGGAGCTATCTTTAAACCACAGAAGAGATGCAAAGTAAAACAAAAGTCTATAAGCCTTGATTGCCTCTAATGGGACTCCTGGTACGTGCACAGTTCTGTGTATGTGAAGCCTCATAAACTGGATTTTTCATTATTAATTATTGGCAATCAGCTTTGTCCTTTCTGATCATAAGTTTAACAACAATTTAAACTAAAATTTGAGTTACTTTCGTGGCTCAATTTCTATTGGGTTGTTTCTTCTGCGGTTAAGAGTACAACGCTTCTAATTGTACAGCAATTTTAATTTTTGTGGCTAAATTTCAGTAAATGAGTCTGGAGTGAAGTTAAGCCTGGGAGAGGGGGGAGAGAAGTGCTGGTTTAAGGTTTGTCTTTTCTTTTCTCTACTACCCAAATTAGTAGTTACATTTTAATTTTAATCGGCAACAAATTAATTCATTTACCCAAGTCAAGTCTGTTTTGCCCACATCAGTAATTGGTAAGCGATCTCCCTGTCTTTAGCTTGGCCCGTGAGCTTTCTCATTCCTATTCTTCCTGTTTTCTCCCCCTGTCCTGCCTGGGAGGAGCAAGTGGCTGGGTGGGAGTCTGGTTGTTAACCAAGGCTGACAGCCACCATAGAAGCTCCTAGAATGGAGACAGTCACCAGCTCTTCTGAAACTGGTCTGTAATGAACTGTACAAAACAAACTCGGAACCATAGCTCTGGGAGATGTGAGCTGTCAATTCCCAGTGAGGTTTTGAGTTTGTTACTCAAGGCTAGTACTGGACGAGGCTCAAGGAAAAAAAATACTCAAAGGCATAAGGGGGATGGAGTATTCAGTTTCTTTACATTTCAGGTAATACTTGTGAGACCAATAACAAAAGAAGTGGCAGGACAAACTTAGTTAAAAATAAATACACAAAATCATATTTTTGATTGTGCTGTCTCAGATGGTCTTCAGACATTTGGTTATAATGTGGTTTTCTATTGTGGTTTCTACATGGTTTTTTTACTTCTTCGTTCAACTAATTAAATCCTGATACAAAATTGTAGTTGGAGAATCTCACTTATCGGTTGATATCCAGCAGATCTTCAATAATTGAAATGTTCTGATTTAGGTAAGTTGATTGGGCATATACTACATATTTTAGAAATATCTGTATATACACATATTTCACCTTTATTGGGTATACTTTTCTTTTTCCAATGAATAACATTAATAATGGAAATGCAGAATGCTTCCTAGGGTAGTAACAAATGTTTGGGGGTTATTGGCCTTTAGCAGTGCCTCAGGCCATCAGCTCCTCTCAGCTAGTTGCTAATCCCCAAGAAGTGCCCTAGGCTTCAAGTCATTATTGCTTAATTCAGCACTAGGTTCTCTAGATTTGCTTAAAAACTTTTTCAGTTACCTAACCTAATTTACGAGCTGGCTTGCAACCTCTAGTTCTTGACCAAGTGCTGCACAGTGAGAGGTTTCTTATGCAGCACCATCATGTACAGAATATTTCTTCCCTTCTGGTCATGGACAGGTGTAGTGCAAATAAAAGAGCAGTAGTTGTACAGCTGGCATGGTAACTTCTGCCTCATTGAGGTTTATTGCTGTATAAATCAATTTAGGCATTCATAGGAAATCTGGTGAAAATATTTTGCTATTAACACTGGTATTTCAAAGCAAAAGAAAATGTTTATAAGATTTTATATTCTGTCAATATTTGAGATATTAACAGTGTGTGGTACTTGGCATTTGGTCCTCGTAACTTGCTGGAAATTGTTTAAGTAGTTTCTTTTTGATGCAAGATCTGTGTTCTACACAGTGTAGTTTTAGAACTTTTGTCCTCAGTAGTTTCATTGTTGCTAAACTGTGGCTTTTTTATACTGTTCTTAAACTGATGCTTTGGAAGCATATAAAGGAAGTATACATCACTTATTCTTTTCTGACCTCTCTCATTCTCAGAACTTTCCAAGTTATTTTCGGTTTTGTGTTTTAGAACCTAAAATAGTTATTTTCATGGGTTACATTAATGCATGGCATTATAGAATCACAAAGCAGGGCACTGGACGAACTAAAACAGTTCCCTAGTCTCTGGTCTTTGCTGCCCATGAGTGCCTGATGAAAAAAATCAATTACGACGATTGCATAATTGAAGAAAAAGATATTTTGTGTTCCAATTGGTTAGTTTTAGTCTCCCTGCCTTAGTAATTTCCTTAGCAATTAGTAATTCCTCCAGATCTTGAAGAGAACTAAATAGTTATTTGTTCTCATTCAAATCTCACTTTTTTCCCCTCAATACTTAGACTTGTGTTCAATGGGAATTTTTCCCAGTGTAATTAGTGCAGATTAGTAACTCATTTGTGTAGTTACTTGTAATAAAACCAGTCACTTCTAAAAGATGTTTTCCACAAGGATTGTGTTCCACAAGAGCTATGATCACATGTGTCGTTAGCCATTACAGTACAGTCATGTTGAGAAAGTTCTCTGTGTGGACTTAGCTTGTTTACACTTAGTGTTTTCTATATCCTCATGGTGTCCATATGCTGCACTAGCTAATCCATGGTAAAGCTCATTTCTACACTCCATCAAGAAAAGTTAGAAAGATCATGATTTGGGAATGGAAGGATAACACCCCACAGCACTGAGTTTTGTCCTGTTCTGTCAGACAGTTATTATAGGTAAATATTTCTTTCTGCAAATATTTGTATTTGAGGCATCACACTGGTACAGTATTTGGTACTAGTACGTTTTCTATGAAAATTCTTTTGTCTTCAGTATTTAGCAAAATCACTATTCCATATGATAAATACAGTTTATCATGTATTCAAATCAACATGATTAAGATGATCATTAGCAGACAAACATTGGGGGAACTTCTGCAGTTTTTTCTGTTAAGCTGATCAGCTTTTTCTGATAGACTGTGGTGTTTAGTATAACTGTGAAAGATGTCATTTTTCAACTCAAAGGGTATAAACAATATCCTTGCATAAGAATTAAATTTCATATTTCCTAGAAGTCTCAGTCCGGACCTTGAATCAGTTAACTGTGTGTTCCAGCAGTTTCCAGCTATCCATGATGTCAGCTGAAGCAGAAACATAGCAGCAGAGGAGAAATTGGTTATTTGTGCCTTCAAAGGGCTTGAGATGGGGTAAAGAGCACTCCTTTAGCTTATGTGCTGAGTGACCCTCTTAACCTGGTTAGTGTGGGTAAAGAATGTGTGTGACTAGTAAATGGGATTTAGATTTGTGGTTTACCTTTAGGGACTTGGGTTGAGCTGCTAAAGGAGAATCCAGTGACTCCAATGGAAGGTTGTCTTCCCCTACTTTTCCTTTTCCTTTTTTTTTTTTGAGGCAGCTGAAAACAAGCATGTTTAGCAGGTCTGTGTGCCTTACATGAGAAACTAAAATAACTTTTAATTTTTAAACTACGACAGATCTTCACATATTTCACACTGTTTCTCTGTTAAATACCTGATTCAGTAAATTTCAGAGATCTCCTTCTCTCTGTTATACTAAAGCCAATTATCAGTCTTTTGCTGTGTAAAAATAACAACAGGAGTTACTCTTCTTGCCATGAGTCTGTTGAAAATGTTTTACCTTGGAGTTGTGAATATGTTGCTATTCTCTACCTTGCAGTTCTGTGCTTGTAGAGTAGCTGTTTGACAGTTTGAGTCGTAAGTTTATTCAGAACATCAAAATGTATCTGATTAGAGCAGCGTAGAAGGCTGAATACGTGATGCCTTTCAATTTTTATTTAAAAAAAAAAAGAAAAAAGAAACCACAACAAAAAAACAAGGGATGAGGTTAAACTGATCTTTTAATGATGGAATGAGCAAGAGCTTTTTGTATAGACAGAAGCTCTTGAATTGAGATACAGGGAATAGATCAGAGAGGGGAAGTACAGAAAGCCAAAATTAAGTGAAATGATGGATAAGTCTTAAGTGATGTTACTCTGGAGAGTTTTGAAAGGCAGGAGGGTCACTCTAAGCTCTACAGGAAGATAGTAATGCAGTTGGGGTAGATGGATAGTGTCCTGGTTCCTGGGTGGATTTCTAGGTTCAGGGCAACAAATGAAGTCTGAAAAGACAACTTGCTAATCAACTGCAGAGGGGCTTATATGTCTTAGATGACAGAGTGGAGGAACAATACAGGTGATGAGGGTTCAGCATTATATTTGAAGGGGGAGTTGCTGATGACAGTGTTTGGAAGAGAAAGAAAAAGATAACATGTAAACTCAGCCCTTTTTTTTTTTTTAAAAAAAAGTGTGTAATATTACCAATTTAGACTAAGTTGAGACCTATTTAGCAGCTTCTGTATTTTAAGAAAATTTTCTGTAAAGCTGTGTACCCAAGATTTTTGCAGTGATTCGGTAGTTAATTCAGTAGACTGAATTCAGTCATGATAGGATGTCTCAGGGTTTTTTTTTCTTCATTGTTCACCCAATGTTGCTAATGAATTTTTAATGAGGATACAGTTCTCTAAAGATTGTGGGCCTTATACAATTTGTTCACAGCTGAGCTTAGTGGAATGAGTCCCATGAGTAAAGTTACTTGTGTGTGTTGTGCCAGGCTAGAATCTTTCCCAATTTCTTCTATTTCTGAGGTAAGTATAGAAAAACAACTAACTAAAAATAGGGAGGAAAAATGAGGGTAATGTAGACCTATTTAAAACAAACAAACAAACAAAACCCACAAAAAAACAAAAGCCCTGCAACAAACAAAAATAAAAACCACAAAAAGCAAACCTAGCTGTATGTCTTTTAAAAACTTTATCTATATATTTAAACATTATTGTTTTGCTTCATCTTTCAGTTCAATGTTTTATTTTTCCATATAGTATAAAAAGTATTACAGATTTATATACTGGTATAGGTATGCGATTGCTGAAGTGAACTCTCAAAAAGTTTCTTACTAAGTTTACAGTATTTTTTGAGTCCTTTCCCTCTCTCCCTTTCTTTCTTCATAGGATGCTTGGATTCAATGATTTGGATACAGAATTGGTGCAGACATTTAGACTAAGGATTGTAATGTTGTTATTTCTGTTTATTACTATAAGAAGTGTTGAATTGCAATACGAGTGGCTTATTTACTATTAGCCATAAAATGAAAAATCACCCTTAAGCTTTAAGTTGCAAAAATGAGAAGAATAAACGTGGTATTTCCTCAAAACAGGGAAATTGCTTGTATTTTTCTGGAAAACTATATCCTGCATGAAATCAATGATATACTAAATTGTTAGTAGAACAATTAATTAAAGTAGATATCGGTTATAAAATTCTCATTAAATTGTTCTGTGCAGTCATTGTGTATAATTAAGACCCACAGGAAAACATTTGAAACCCTAATGTTCTCTTTTATTGTATTTGCAGATTCACATCATAGATTTTGATGATGAAAATAACATTATAAACAAAAACGTTCTCCTTCATCAAGTGGGTGAAATTTGGCACATTAGTACCAGTCCTGCAGATAAAGGTGTACTAGCAACCTGCTACAATAAAAGTAAGTCCTTTGTAACCATGTTAAACTTGTTCAGGTGTTTCAATATTTTTTGGATGTGCAAATGTATTGGGTTTGCATGGCAAGGCTTCCATAGTGGGGGGGCTGCAGGGGTGGCTTCTGTGAGAAGCTGCTAGAAGCTTTCCCCATGTCTGATAGAGCCAATGCCAGCTGTCTCCAAGACGGACCCACTTCTGGCCAAGGCTGAGCCCATCAGCGATGGTGGTAGCATCTCTAGGATAACATATTTAAGAAGCGGGGGCGGGAGGGGGGCGGC